GGGGCCCTGAGGGGTCCCTTCTTGGGAATTCTATCCTCACGGAGGTCAGGGAGGCCCCTCTGAGGAAGCGGTGCCTCCACGCAGATCTCAGGGGCTGAGGAAGAGGTGGGAGGGAATCTGGAGAACATTCTAGGCACAGGGATGGTGCCTCTGGTAAGAAAAAGCCAAGAACACCTGAGGGGTAGCCCGGGAGGCATTGTGTCTGGGGTAGAGAGAATGAGGAGGGATGGGTAAGAGAGGAGGCTGAAGGGGCCCAGAGTAGCCAGGGACACAGCACTTTCTAGAATAAGCGAGGGGTTTGGGTTTGATCCCAAGTGAAGAGAGGCCACTGAAAGTTTTGGGTGGTGGGAAAGGGTGACAAAGGGATGACATGATCAGATTTTCAGTTCAAAAATATCTTACTGAGTGTGAGATCAGGTTAGAAAGAGGTGTGAGTGGTTGTGAGCAGAACTTTATATATATATAAAACATTTTTATTTTTTAGGTAATCTGAGAATGAAGTTTTTACTTTTTTTTTTTTTAAAAGAACTTATATATTTATATACGTTGCCCATGAACACAGACAATAGTGTGGTGAAGGCCTGGGGGGTAGGGGCTGGGTAGATGGGGGTAGAGGGGGGACGTGGGGAGCATCTGTAATACTGTGAGCAGAACTTTTAACAAGAGCCTTTCACTGGAGTCTGGTCATGACCCCCCTGTTCCTGTCCCCTAAACCTTCCCAGGGTGGGGACATCCCTCAAGTACAAGGAAGCCCTTGGCTCATTTTGTTACACCAACAAACGGGAGGCGAGAGTGAGCCCCACAGAAAGCTTCGAGCCCCAAAAGATGGACTCTAAAGAGAGAAAAAATTCACTTCTGCTACTGTCCAGGCTTTCACTTTCTTAGCTTAATTTCATCAAAATTGTTTTTCCCACTCTCACCCCCACACTGTGACCTAATGAATGTTATCAATCTCCCCCTCATCTGAGCATGTATGAGCAATGGTTTCCAAGGTGGGGAGTGCATACCTCTGAGAGGTGTGGGGAGAAAATCCCTCAAGATGTTTATATTTTTATCTAAAGGCCACAAGAAATTAAGCTTTGATAATATTTTCAAAAGAAAATGTTATTCTAATTTTTAATAAACTAGTAGACACTGGCACCCTCACTAAGACAGACAGTCACTACAAAAATGTACCCAAGGGACCCTGGAATACTCATGATGTAAAGCGACCGTGGTCCCAGTTCACTCAGTCACTTTCCACATATTGCAACATTTCTCAGGTTACTTGTGCCTGATCTAGTGGATTTACAAATTATACTCTTTAGATTTAACTAAACTCACCTCTACAAAATCTAAGGACCCATGGCTTTATTAGGTGTCTTCAAGGAAACTGTGGGTCGAGGAGGACACCAATAATAGAAGCACAAGCAAGCCCATAAGAAAAGGCCAGAGCTGATTTTCTCCATCTCTAGAGCAAGTGAAAACAGTAGAGACCTAACCAGATCTCAAAAGAAGTCATCCAAAAAATTAAAATCAGGAGTGTTTGAAATATGGACTTATAACTATTCCTGCTAGCAATAAAAGCCATGCCATCTTTAATATTTAGATATGTTAAGTAGTCATATTTGAAAGTTTCTACTTAAACAGGTAGAACCAAGACAATCTGGAGACCACTGCAGTAGGGCCGCTCGAGGGGGGACAGTGACCCGCTCTGACTCACCTGGGGGTTGTGGGGGAACGTGCTTTCTGTCTCTCCCAGAGGCCCGTCGTTCTGGTTGCTGTCTCCGTAGATTTCTTCTTTGGTCATCAGAGACTCTTCCTCAATCTCCCCTTCCTTCTGAAGAATTTTCCTCATGAAGTCTCTCTTGTCCATTGGGGTTCGAATGATTTTCAGGTTATTCGTGTAGATGATTATCTTTCCAAAATCTATAATAGGTGGGGACTAGAGAAATGGAGAATGAGCGTGGAACCTCCACCAACAAATAAACACAAGCTGCAGAGCCCTCTCAACGTCCCAGGAACTAGGAGAGGAGGATCTTCTACTGCCCAGCACTTGGGATCCCATCAGACCACAAAGCTACACTTCATTCCCTGGTTTGTTTGCTCTCTCTGAAAACCATGACAACCATCTCCTGTTGATGATCATTGATCAAAGCTGAACCAGTCATATAACTAGAGTGAAAGACTCTACAGGGTAGGCTCCAGAGTGTCTATTTCAACCACATACCACACAGCTGATGCAGGGCCGGGCACAATGAGTGCTTAATAAACACAAAGGAATGTTCTTTTTACAATAAACGTCACTCCACATTCTTTCTGCATGCATAAATAATAAAAATAGTAGAAACAATTTAGTGAGCATTTTATTATTATTATTATTATTATTAATTATTGTGTCAGGCATTGTGCTAAGCACTTTATAAACATTACCTCACTTCTCCCCTGAATATCCCTATGAGGTAGATGGTATGATTTCCACATTCTACAGGTGAAGAGACCGAGTCTCATTGGGGGTAAGTGCCTCTCAAAGTTACAAAATTACTCAGGGTCTGTGGCTGAAATTCAAACCCAACTCTTTCTCACTCTAGAGTCCATATATATATATATAAATCCTTACCCTAAGGATATTTTTTCCATTGCTTTTCAGAGAGGCTGGGGGGGGGGAGAAACATTGATGTGAAAGAAACACATCAGTTGGTTGCCTCCCTCACGTGCCCCGAGAGAGGCCTGGGATTGGGACTCTGCAACCCAGGTACGTGCCCTTGGCCAGATCGAACTTGGGACCCTTCAGTCCAAGGGCTGACACTCTAACCGCTGAGCCAAACCAGCTAGGGCTCCATATTCTTAACACCTACACTAAACTATTCATAAGCACTTTCCCTCCAAAATATAAGATCATTATATTTATTTATATATACTTATATCTATTTATAGATATATTCTGTTGTAACTCGCTTTTGTTATTTGTATATGAAAATCTTTTTATGTCAATTAATATACTCCTATAGCGTCATTGTTAATTGCTTATGTTCCCGTGCATGGATTTCTCACGTTCCTTAATCACTTGCTGAGGAATAATCTGAACGATGCTACAATGCAGTAGAGAAGCCCAGGAGTAAATGCTTAGGGATTATTCAGCTAAGAGCACGTATTTCTTCCCAGAGCTACGATAGCTCTCAGGGAAACAACGCTGGATCCCAGTCCTGCCATTCACCAACTGTGTGGCACCTCCTAGCCTCAGCGTGCTCGCTGTAAATGGGCTGCCACCGAGCTGGAACGCACTAACTACCACAGACAAGCTGATCATTAAAACACGGAGATACCTCTGCACCGGCTGGGAAACAGGCGCTGTCCTGAGACTCCTGAGCGCTCTCCTGTTACCCCAGCCTCTCTTCGGGGAGCCTCTAACATCCCCAAACCAGTCACGTAAAAGTTAATACCTAGGGCCTCAGGGGTTAGGACCCTGCCCCAACATTCTGCTGGCTTCTGGGGCGATTAAGCAGTTAAATATTTTGACTCCCATCCCTGAGGCTAATTCTATCCTCTTCCAGGGGGGGCGGTGCTATGGAGAATATATAAGACAGGGTTTGCCAGAGCTGAAGGTACTGTTATGCTGTTATTATTGAAAGTTGTTCTTTCAGTGGTTGGTGCAGGCACACTCGTGCCACACAGCATGCTTGGCAGGAAGCACCCTCCCTGCGTTCACAGGCAGGATCGAGCAAATCTATTTACATGCTACTCTTAAGCAGTCTCAGCTGGCTTGTGCGGGACTTCAGGATTCAGGACCCCTTCCTTGAAACATCCACGGAGCGTTCGATAATTATTTATGAAGCCACAGCTTCCTGCCCGGCCCTGCTCTCTCCCTCTCTCCTGGGATCGTGTGGCAGCTTCCATTTCCTGCTGCCTGGCGCACGCGGGTTCCTGTTTCACACTCTGGACTATCGGTTTCTGAACATCGGCAGATAAAGGTGGTGGCGCTCTTGGAAGGTTCCATTTCCACTCCCCGTAATAGCCGAAGAGGTTCAGTTACCGGGGGGCTTCCTTCGCATCTACAGCTGCTTTCTCTTTTCAAGGCAAAACTCTCAATATGCTGAAGAATATCTGCTCGTCTGGTTCAACCTCCTGCCTCTAAGCTGGTCATTATGTGAGACACCCAGGAGAGTAAATGTATTTTTAATGTATTCCAAAGATGGACGGTCCCAAATCACCCTGAAGGTGTGTTTAAGTTTCAGTCACCCTGACAGCCAAGCTCGTCCTTGTGTCTAAGGAAACTCTCCGGGTGTAACTAAACTTCACATTATCTGCTTGCATCCGATTGCCCGGGAGGAACACCCGCTCTTACATTACAGAGGGCCGGGATGGAGCCAGGAATTTTTTTGTTTCCTTCCATAGTGCCCAGAAGGGCAACCTATGTGACCGAGCCTCATAAATACACTGGTGACAGTGACAGTGTGCCCAGACTGCTATTGGTCACCATGGCCCCTCCGCAGCTCTGCGTTCAAATGCAGAAACCCGCCGCCGGGTAGGGGAAACACAGGGGCTTGGGAGGCAGGCAGACTCAAGTTCAAGTTGCATTCAAACGTTATTTGACAGTTGAGTGAGATTTGCAGCTGACTGAAACCCTATGAACTTCTGTTTTCCCGCTCTGTAAGATTCTCTCCTGGAATTATTGCAAAGATGAATGAAATATTCAGTATAAAGTGGGTGGGGGCTACTTCTCTGCCTCTCCCTTCCATTTTTTATGGACCTTATAAACTTCCATCAGTTTCAGTTCCTTAAGATATTTGATTGTTTATAACCACTCTCTCTGTCTACCACTTAAAATGTTAAAAAGACTCAAAGTTTCTTTCAACTTGGCCATGATCACAATGGTAGGTAACATTTACTGAGCATACAGTGTGCCAGGCACAATGCCAAGTGCTTCTTAATCAGCACAGTGATCTTCGTAAGCAGGTGCTCTTATTACCCTCATATCACAGATTATGACATTGAATCTCGGCAAGGTTAAGTGGTTTGCCCAAGCTCACAGGGGTAAGTGGGTAGAACGGACATCAAGCCCAGGTTTAACTGACATCAGAGCCCTTGTTTTAAAAAATACATATTATTTTTAATGTGGTAAATATACCTAACATAAAAGTTACCATTTTAACCATTTCTAAGTGTGTAGTTCAGTGGCATCAAGTACGTTCACTTTGTAGTGTCACTATCACCATCACCCATCTCCAGGACTTCTTCTTATTCCCAAACTGAAGCTCTGGACCCATTAAACAACAGCTCCCCCTTCTCCCTTCCCCAGCCCTGGTAACCACCATTCTACTTGCTGTCTCTACAGATCTGACTACTCGTATAAGTGGAACCATACGATTGTCCTTTTGTGACTCATCCCACTTGGCACAGTATCTTCAGATTCCACCCATGTTGTACCAGGTGTCAGAATTGTCTCCCTTTTGAAGACTGAGTAATATTCCACTGCGTGTATAGGCGACATTTCGTCCGTCCATTCGTCCATTGATGGGCATTTGGGCTGCTTTCACCTCAGGGCAACTGTGAATACAGCTGCTATAAACCTGGGTATACAGATATCTGTTCAAGTGCAGAGCCTTTACTTTCAACGATTGTGCTTAACTACTACCCAATGTTGCCTCACAGCCAATATTAACTTGGGGTTATTTTACAGTTGGGTTCACTATTGAAAAATCATGACTTCCCAGCTCTCATTTCCTTAATTTTCACAAATGCCACATTGACAGCCTGTTTCAGCAGGAGCGGGTGCACACATCCACCCTGAGCACTCTCATACCTGCAGGCTGGCTGGCTGGGGACGTGGCATTTTGATCAGGCAACGAAGAAAACAAGGATATCGGGACCAGGCAGGAGTCTAACCCTGAGCATGGCCTCTAGGGTCCGGTGTTTAAATCAGCTGGGCTGTGCTACCATGAAGACTCAGTCTTGTGGTTTCATAAATCTATGCCTAATCATGCATTTACATGAATGTCAAGCTTGACATGCTGACTTATGAAGGTCAAGCCGTCCAGTATTATCTACTGTGGCCTCGTACAAGGTATAGTACCAACTACAACTTTGTAAATTCTGTATCTACAAATAAGATTTAGGTAAAGGGAGATACTGTAAGTATAAGACAGCTAAGTACCTAGGACATAACAAGCACTCAGTAAATGGTGACTATTATGACTATCATCAACATTATTAGTAGTGATTGTATTCTCTAAAAAGGAATATCCCATAGGGCAAAAAGTTTGGGGATTCAGAAGACCTGGGTTCTTATTCTGACTCTGAACTTAATGACCCTATAATACTGAGGGAGTCCCTGCACAGCTTGGCATCAGTATCCCTCATCTGCGAAATGGGAGGGCTCAACTTGGCCTTTCTCCTCAAGACTGTGGTCAACACCTAATGCGATAGTGTGTGATGGTGCTTTGCAGTGAGTAAGCCTCTCCAGTAACATGAGGGGCCCTTCATTCCAGTCTCCTTCAGTACCAAAAAGAAACTGGTATTATCTTTGATAAATGTGGACCGTCCATAAATATACTTTTATCAATGCTGGCAAGGCCAACACATTTGTCTGCCATAGATGTATTTTTTGTTCCCTTAGGAAACTACCAATAAAAATGATTAGAGAGTAATTATCTGAATTTTTCACACTTTAAAGAGAGTATAAATCTTACTCATTAATGCTATTCATTAATAACCTGGTACATTACATAATTGTATTTAATCATTTTAAAAAATACACAATCATAGTGCCCCTGGGAGAGAGTATATACACATCGCCTACAGAATTCTAAAAATCATTGACTACATTTCTAGGCTCTTCTAACTTAAAAAGAAAAAAAATCATGTATGGGCTTTTGATTATCCATGAAGACAATTGAAATTCACAAATAAAATACATGTTTCAAATGAACTGTTAGCTCACACTTCTCCCCCATGTAACATTTCCTCTGGTCGATTTGCTTTTCAGCATCTCTTCCTAGGACTCCACCTACCCAGCGTTCATGCTAATGGGCAATGGAAAGGCAAAATAAATAAACTGACAGACAGACATTTTTTGAAAGCAGGCCGCAGGAGGGAAAAAACAAGACATGGATAAACCACAAGCTGAATAATTGCCTGGAGTGAAACGAGCACCTCCAAACACTTAGCTCTTTCGGGAAACAACACAGCCCGTTGCTGTACAATTTTCTGCAACAGCAGTCCGGCAACCTGAAAACCAACAGCACCTCTATTTAATTCGCTTCCTGATAACCCAGCCCAAAACCCAGGTGCAATTTTTTTTACCCCAGATGGAATTCGAATACTATCATGCTTATTGCCCTTTCCAATAAGTTGTCAACAAGCATGTGATTTCTGTCCCAGGGATATTCTTCTAAGAGCAGCTTCCCATTTGGTGCGCCTATAGCCCTGCTTGGTACCGGAGCGTGAGCACGATACAGATGCGAAACATTCAGGCGCCTCTCTAAACACGTTAGTCCTTAAAGCTTACACGCCATGCCCAATACCAACCTTGTGGTCATTTGCCTTGTAATCGTTGAAGAAAGGCTGGCTGCCCGCCAAAGTATAGGCATTGCCCTCTCTGAACACGCTGATCCTTTGAGCAGTCAGCTTGGGGGAGTACGGCCGGGCCTTGGGGGCTTCCCCGGACCCGTAAACAGCATCCATGGGTTCCAGGGCCTCTTGGAGGAAACTGTGCGGGTACTCCTCCTTTGGCGATTCTAATTCCTGCCCATCCTCGAAGACCTGCTTCAACACGCGGCCGCTGTAGGAGGAAGAGATTTTGAACCGAACTTTCCGGGGTTTGCCGTCGCTCTTCTGGTTCAGCTTCTTCTCGGGGTCCTCCATCAGCAGACGCTTCCCTCTGCGGTTCCCAGGCCTCGGTGCCGCCGGCGAAACCTGGAGCTCTGAGAGAAAGGCAACTTATTTTCTCTCCTCCTGCGTATAATTAATTCAAGTCGCTGCTGGGATATGCTCAGTTTACAGCAACTGACACCCACACGTTAAATATTGATAGACCCTCATGCAAAGGCAGGAGATCGTGGGTGTATGGGGTGCAGGGAGCAGAAGACAAGATTGGGTCCCCTCTGAATCCCAGACTCACCCCGAACTTCACCCCAACCCTGGCTTTTCTTAACCTGAGGGGGTTTGTTTAGACTGGACAAGTACCAGTTCAATAAGGATCAGTTACTCAATCAGTTAGCAAATGTCTTGTTATTCTTACCAAGAGCTATGATCTAATAAGCATTTAATAAGTGCCAGAGATTTTTGCACGAATTAGCTTACTTTGGCCTCCCAATAACCCTATAATGAAAGTATTATTGCTCCTGATTAACAGAAGGGAAAGCGGGGCTCAGAGCAGTTTCCCCATTTATCTACTGTATTATAGCTAAGTAAGTAACAGGGCAGGGATTCGAACTCAGTTCTGACTCCAAAACCCATGACCGGTCCACAGAGTCAAAAGTTTTCAAACTGTGTCTCATGGAATCTTAGACAAGAGGAAGCCGCAGGTCCTGGTTTCTGGGCCTTCTGCCTCTGTGCTAACCAGAGCTGTTCCACTTTGTATCTATTTTATATAGACTTTTTTTTTTGCATGCTGGTTATACTTCAAAGGTTTTTTTAAAGACAAAAAGAAAAAAAAAAAGATTCATTTGCAAGCACAGCACTAGGCCCCACTGCCTTTTGAAGACAGCACCTCACCTGGTAAATGCCCAACACTGAGACGGTGGCTGGGGCTCTGGGAGGGATATCAGAGAAGCATGAGACGTGGAGAATGACAGTCCCTCAATGCGGTTTAGGAAACAGACCTAACACGTATGAAACCGCCTCCTGCTTAGGGAGCGGACGGTCCATGGCTGACTCCCAGGATAGCTGTTCCGGGAAGAAAGGGGTCCCTAAGGGGACAAGAATGGCAGAGGAAGGTGTGTAAAGGAAATGGCCCTCGGGTTGGACTTAAAGAGCTGGAATGGTGGGGGTTAAGCTTTCCACCCCCTTTGCTAATCACTTCATCCATTACCTCTTACTGGCTTCTCTCACGCTCCTGTAGCCATTCCTAGGAATCCTGCCACCTCTGCCTTCTTTCATCCGCCCCAGCACCTCGGCCCCAGGTGAAGTCCTCATGCTTCTGTTTTCAAAGTGGCAGCAGCCCCCTAATGACTTTCCCACCCATCACAAATCCATTCTCCACCTGGATGCCAGAGCCGTGTTTCCAAAACACAAGACTGTCGGTGTCAGCCTCCTGCACGGAAAGTCCCAACCCTCCCTGTCCACAGGCAAGGCTCCTCCAACCCTGACCCTACCTCCCTTCCAGCCTGGTCTGCTTCACCCTTCCAGGTGCTGCCTGGAACCGAGTTCTGGGCACACGGCCAAGCCCACCTGTCTCTCAAAACCACCAGTTTCTGTCCCTTATCCAGTGCCCGTCCCTCCTTGAAATGCCACACATCTCCTCCTTGAAGTCACACCTCAAATGTCACTGCTCTGGGAGGTCTTCCCACCTGCTCCAGGGAGAATGCCCTGGAGCTCTGGACCTACCACCATGGATCAGTCGAGAATCTTTGTTTTCTTTACCATTCCCGGGGTCCCCTCCACCAAACGGTGAGCACCTTACACTCAGAAGCTGTCTTTGCCATTTCTCTGTCCCCAGTGTTTAGCAGGGTGGCTGATACATCACAGGACGCAGGTAAGAATCGCTGAAGGAATGACTTCTGGATGAGAGAAATCAAATAAATAAAACTTTTGGAAAGGAGTTAAGTATATTTGGGGGGCAATAGTGAAGAGGTAGGATCAGAAAGTTGCCAAGAAAAATATCTATATTTATATTAAGGAGTTTCACAGTGATAAGGCCCCTGTGTAATCAATACATGGGATAGGTTAAACACACACACAGAAATGGCATCTTAAAAAAAAAAGATATGCCCTTCATGACATCAGAAGATACATTCCTCTAGGTTTCCTGGGATGCAGGTCTGGCCTGATGTACCATGAATGTTTACAAGAAGGCAGAACCCGGATCCCTTAGCCCTTAGGACAGCCAAGGGGGGGAGGGGAGGGCAGGCTTCCAGACAGTCTCCTCTGACTACATCAGCCTCATTCATTTACTCCAGTGTACAGAACAAATATTATTATTTTCTACATATGCCATGCCATGAAAAGGATTGGGAAGCCCTAAAAAGGAGAATATTTCCTCCTATTCATCCCAGAAACAGGTCTGAGTAAATGACCAAGAGCCTACCTTCATCCGGAAGGATTCCTGAGCTGACTTCCACTGCTACTTGTCAAATAGGCATTTTCAATTGCCCAGGAAATGAGCACCATTAACAAGGCAGCCTTTCCGAAGGGGGTAGAAGGCCAGAGCCTGTGCACTGATGCATTTGCACAATTGCGCTTCTGCCACCTTGAAAACTGTTAAGTGAAAATTAAGTTAGAAATATCGACACAACTGAATTAAATAGGATCCTGACTATGAAAAAAGAATCGTTTAATTATGTGGACAAATAAAAAACTGGAAATGAGTTTTCCAAGTAACATTTGTTCTATACGCTTTCAGGCCTTGTGTCATGTTCACAACAGACTTGGAGCGAGCCAGACCAAAATCGTGGCAAGTTTTGAAAGAATCATGCCATTTGATAATTTTTAGATGTTAGTGTTTACAGAATAGTCACAATTTATACATTTCCAAAAGGAAGATAAAACTGACAAATTGAAAGCAATTTTGGCAGTACTATGAAAAGCCTTAAAAATGTTTATCTCCCTGAACCTTACTAAGAAAGAAAAAGACTCCATAAATCAGAAGAAATAAGGTCAAAACATTAACACTGATTGCGAGTGGGTGAATGGTTCTGAATTTTTTCTTTCCCAGTTTCATTATATTTTTAATGGTCTATAATAGCTTATCTTACTTTGATAATCAGGGAAAAAACAAATGGAAAAAAAAATCCATTCCTTTCAACCCAATAATTTCTCTTAAGGAGATTTTTTTCCCCCTCAATTTTAAGAGTTTATCTGAGCAAAAATCGATTCAAATTGGGCAGCACCAAACCAGAAGTGGTTAGGAGCACTCCGCCAGCAGGAGCTTGGGGAGAGGCTTTTACAGAGAAAAAGGGAAGCAAAGTAATTGGCTAAAGTTTAAAGCCTAGTTGGCTGTTTGTACCATCTTGATTTTGTAACCATGAGACACCTGCAGGCCTAGATTTTGGTTTGCCAAAATCAAAACTTTAAGATTTTGGTAGAGCGCCATGGCATTAGAGCCACATTAGTTTAATGGCCTTCTTGTTTAATTAATTTAGTAACACACACACACACACACACCCCTTTCAGTCGCCTTCTCATACATGAGAGATGGACCAACCATTTGGTACTAGTGCCACTCTCAGTCACCATCAGCGTTAAGGTGCTCTTGTCTCATTGGGAAACTTGTAGGCTATGATGTCAGATCTGTGGAAAAATTGTTTTTGCTGTTCAGCTCATTGTTTAACTTCTTTCTGTTTCTCCAAGTGCAATGAGACCATCTGATGTCTGCAAAAAATGCATTTAAGACCTCTGAGGGAACATATCATACCAGGAAGACTATGGTAACTATGCTTTCAACCCAATAATTTCTCTTAAGGAGATTTTTTTTTTTTTCAATCAGAGGATTGAAATGAGAGGATAATGCTGAGAGACTTAAGATACTTCTTAGCCAGGGCCTCCCATGAACCAAACCAGTTCGTATCAAACAAATCAAAGAATATACCGGATAGGACATGAACCTGTTTTAGCCAAGTGGCATGTTTGTTAACTTTTGTATTTACTGCAATACCAGAGGTATTGATCCAAGGACAGCAGGAGGTACTGGGTGTGGCACAGACTACTCCTTGTTCAGCCAATAAGTCATCTAAAGCAATTCTACTATCTAAAACTGCGAGAGCAAGGAAGTCTAGGGACTTCTGTTGTCCAGCCATGGCCTAGTGCATTCAGGGATAGTTGCCAGAGTTAAGGAGCATTGTCTTCTTATGAATTAACAGAGAGGAAAGGCACGTAGCAGAAAGGCAAAAGGAATAAAGTGTTGATATTGGAGATGGAGATCATAATCCATGATCTTGGGAGAGCTGTCCACCTCCAGATGCCATCTTCTCCTGGGGAGAAAACTCTCTAGTCAGGTTTAATGCTAGATCTCCAGCTGGTGTGTAGTTCCCAGTCTGGAGGAGCCCTTTTTAATTGGGGAATGTGGACCCAAGTTTCATCCCTGAAGTCTGGCCATCATCTGGGTAGCAAGGAGGGCCTGGTATGGTCCCCTTTCAAGATGGTTCAAGGCAGTCTTTGTTCTTAGTGACTACAAATCAGAGGGTGGGAGAAAATTGGAAACATTCATTTGGAGAGTTGTAGCCAGATATTTGAGGAAACTAGGATTTAGGATCCAGTTCAGTTTACAGGTCTGTAACAAACCTCTAAGACAATGAACAGGACTAGAACCTGATATCCACAGGTTGTGTTATAATTATCCATGAAATTTGATTTTTCCCTCACAATCACCCTCATTTCTATCAAGGATAATTATAAGAAGACGATTTTATTTGCAAAAGAAGTCTAGTCTCATTAAGCTTGGCCTGATTATTTACATAAGTGCAGCAAGAATAGTGATTGACCATACAGGAAGCCTTTTAAATCTGCTTTGCTGGAGCTTTTCATAAGGAATCTTAGGTTGGACCTAAAAGAGATATATATATATATATATATATATATACACACACACACACATATATATGCACATATATACATATCTTTATTGATTTCAGAGAGAGGAAGGAAGAGGGAAGAGAGGGAGAGAAACATCAATGATGAGAAAGTCATTGATCGGCTGCTTCCTACACACCCCTTGCTGGGGATTGAGACCGCAACTTGGCCATGTGCCCTGACTGGGA